GAGATAAATTGTCATCCCCAGTGGAAAAGTTCATAATGAGAAGAACTAATCCCAAAGAAGAAGAATTTGTTCAACATTTCCATCCTAATCAAGTGAAGTCAAATGAAAAAAAAAATTATTGTCTTTTCATCTTTGCCCTATTCTCGTTAACATAAGAATGAGCAAAGAGGGGCAGCTGAAGATACTAGTTTATTATTATTAATAATATTATTATTATTTCATTTCAGGCCCAAATCAGACCCAACCCAATTACAAACTGACCCAATTACAAGAGCCCAACTCAGTGGCCCAAAAGAAACCCTAAACCCAATTAAGGTTTGTGTTTCAAGGTTTATCCGCCAACAAACAACATCCGTTAGATCTTGTGAGATCCAATGGTCCAAGGACCTCCAGATGAAACCCTAGGGTATCATCACCCTAGAGCCACGACGCCGACCGCCTCTCTGACATCTCCAACAGCCACTTTCATGCTTCAATGGGAGCCTCCAGAAGACTTGAAGAGAACCGTCCACGTTGAGGGCTACGGTGAGTCACCACTATAATTTGGTGACTCACCGAAATGAGCCATTTTACCCGGTCCGAGGCGAGCGCCGGTGATGGCTATAAAGCCATCGACCGAACCTGTAAAGAAGAAAAAGAAAAGAGAGAACAACACAGCAAACAATATAAAAAAAACTACCAACGATCCCAGTCAGCCACGAATCAAAAGAAAAGAGAAGAAAACTTACTCTGCTCGTCAAATTCACTGTGTAAATCGAAGGTAATACCTACGATTTTGTTTAGATTTAAGAAAATCTAGAGGGTTTTAGCCAAAACCACCTTAGATCTAGATTAAGGAAAATATGAGCTTTAATTTGTGGTGTTTTTGTAAAATCCGGCCACCGGCGACGGAGGCCGACGATGGAGCTGACGACGGCGTGTGGCTGCCGGCCGACGACCGGATTCCCTCCGGTGAGGGAATCCTAGAGAGAATTTCTTCTCTCAATTTCACGCATGGCTTAACTATTCCCGAAGCCACTGTAATTTTAAAACTTTGCAATTTAATCCTTAAAGCATGTTTTTATTTATTATAATTTGGTATTAGAATTTTAGTTCATTATAATTTAATCCTTAACATAAATTATATATATTTTAGGCAAATAACCAATTTAGCCATTGTAATTTTATTAATTAATATTTTAATCTCGAAAAGTATGTTTTAATTTGTTTGAATTTGATGTTCAAATTTAATATATATTTATTTTAGTCACTAAATTAATAATAGGTCAAATAGCATGTTTAGCCACTGTAATTTTAAATAACTAATTACGAATTAGGGTATTTAATTTTAATATGTTATAATTTAATCACTAATTTTAAATACTTTCATTTTATATTTTAATACTATAGTTTTAATTTTATTTATTTTAGTCCATGTTTAGTTATATTTTAATTTTATATGTTTAATTCAATATTTTAATCATTTTAATATATATTATTTGATTAATTTTATAAGTTAATAATATTTATTTATTTTTAAAATATTAAGAAATGACAGTCTTAAAATAACTAGATGTCCTATTCTAGTATCTTAAAAATAATAAATATCATGCTTATAAAAAATATATATATTTAATTTAATTTTATATAAATTATTTTAATCATGTTTTAATATTTATTTATTTTTTAATATTAAGAAAAGGCAATCTTAAAATAGCTGGATGTCCTTTTCTGATATTTTTAAGTAAATAGATATCCTACTTTTATAAATTATATATATTAATTTACTTTATTATTTTTAGAGACATGCTTTATTAATATTTATTTATTTTTTAATATTAAGAAATGAGCTGTCTTAAAACAGCTAGAAGACATTTTCTGATATTTCTAAGTAAATAAATATTTTATTTATAAAAACTTAAATATATATATATATATATATATATATATATATTAATATATAGATATTAATATATTTTCTTAAAATTATACTAAATTACAGGATTATGAATTAAATATGTCTTTGAATTCTTAAATTTCCAATAATATTGACAATTTATAATTAATGGGTACTAATTTTGAGTGTTATAGGGGTGCTAATCATTCCCTAAACATAACCGACCACGAATCCTTTTTTACTAAATTTTTTTGGTTATACACAAATCAATTTATTTTTTAAATTATGTTTTCTTAAAAACTATTTTAAAAGATTGTTTTTAGATATTTGACATACCTAACTCAAAAAGGTCAATGACGACTCCCAAAATATTTTTTTAAATCAAAATCATTTATTTATTCATTTTACTTTCCCCGCCAAGTAAAAATTCGTACTCGGACAAAACCCGTTTACGACATATCTGAAAGCCACTTATTGGTAATTAATTCTATGGTCTATTATTATAAATTCGCCTAGCGGGGACCGTAGGCTTTTATTCACTTGCAAAATGTTAGCGGCAATAATTACGATATTTATGTTTTAAATAAACGATATTAATGTATATGTGTTATTTTCATAGAAATATATATATATATATATATATATATATTAAAGTTGTGTCCAAATTAACATCCTTTAGGTTTAGGGTTGTTAGTAAAAGTATTACTACGCATAAATCAAGGTATTTCTTTGGTTAAAGTTAAATATTTAATGTCAAATAATTGAAAGTATTTAAAATAAATATTATTATTTTTAATCACCATATATTAATAAAAAAGTGTATTTTTACTAATCAAAATTATTAGTATTAATTAAAAGTATAAATGAAATAATTATAGTATTGTGCTAAAATTTATCCCTTTTGAAATATTTTTATTCGAATTGATGGAATCACAATAATGAACGTTGCCTTCCAAAATTAATACATTCTTTTAGAGATTATACGTCTTAAATGAGGAAGACAAAATAATAAGAGAGAAATTATAGAGAAATAAATAGTAGTTTTTTGAGACTAATAAATAGCAGTTTTTGGCATGTAAAATATATGAGTTAAATTTTAATATTTATGAAAGTAAAAACGTGAGGACGAGAACAATTATCATAAAAACTTAATTATTTTCAAAATTTATTTAGAATAGAAAAAAAATTTCTTTAAAATAATATAATTTTTTTTATATTTTATTTGCATTATTCAATAAAAATTTATTAAAGTCATCTAATGATAAAATAAAATTGATTTAATTTTACACTAACATTGATGAAACTGTGGAGTTATATTAAAGAAAAGAGATTGTAATGATTTTCGTATTCAATTTTTTATATTAAGTTGAAGGTAATTTACAAAGGTAGTATTTGTTCTATATACTCTCAACCAATCATCATTGTTGTATTTGTTGGTGTTCAAACCCGAACCTCTAGGAATAACAATTATTTCTTTAACCACTGAGATTATTATTATTATTTATTTTAAAAATTTTAAGTTAATGACAATGGACATACATCCTGTAGACGTTACTGCCTGAACACAAATCTGAAACCATTAACCGGTATAACCGTTACATTTAATAGGTTAATTAACCGAACCGTTAATATTAAACGGTTTCGGTTAACCGAACCACTAAAAATGATTGTTAACAGTTAAGGTTATGGTTACAAGTTTTGATAAACCGTTAAAGGTTAACCGTTAAGAAATTAAATTTATAATTATATATTTCTAATTTATTAGATTTTTACACAAATAACTAATATAGTTTTCTATTATTTATAATTTATATATATATATTTAATGAAATTTGTATACAAATAATTTAATATATATATATATATCATTTTTAATTTTTATTTCTTTAAAAATATAGTACACTAATATAATTATGTGTTTAGTGTTATGTACTAAGATATTTGGAGATGTACATAATTACCGATGTAAGTATGCGTTAAGTGCTACACTTTTTATTTTATTCACTTACATCGGTATATGTATGTGTTAAGTTCTATATTTTTGTAGTATGAATTATGAAAAAATTTGACAAATAATTATAATATGCTAACCGTAGGTTAACCTGTAACCGAATCGTTAATAATGGTTAACCATTAGCGGTTAACCGTTTCTTAATGGTTATGTTATGGTTAGAAAAATCTCATAACCGTTATAACGGTTAACCGACCGTTTAGGCTAAAAGGTGCGGTTAACCGACCATGAACAGCCCTAGATATGATATATTTTACGCTTTTTTCCATTTAAAATAAATTTATAATTATTATTTTTAAAATTGAAAAAATGAATTAAAACAAAAACATGATATATTTAAAATTAAAGTAAATTTGTAATAAATTAGTTGGTTTTTCGAGAGATATATAAATTATTTTTCAAATAACTAAAAATTTAAATTTTCAATAAATTTTATTTTTATTTAATAAAAAATTAATTTTATTATTTTATAATAAAAATAAGTATCTTAGATTTAAAGTGCCGTTATACTAAGAAAACTAGAAACTAATGTGATTAATGAGAATTATTGATTACACAAAAATGCTTAAAATACATGACAGAGTAGGGTGCTATTTATACGATATAGCTCGAGCTATCTTGCTTAACTGCAATCTAACAGAAATCAGTTTTAAACCTAAACTGACTTAACCGAGTAAATAGCATGCTGAGCTGACAGGTCGAGGTTCTGGACTATACTTAACATCCTCTCTGCTTCTTCCAGTGACACAACACCCAATTTTTCTCGAAACATTCGAAAATAATCCGTGATTAAAGCATCGGTTAACCTGTCTTCCACCTGATGTGTAGAAGGAACAAAGTTAATCTTCATCATGTTTGCAACCACCTTTTCTCTAACAAAGTGTACATCCAATTCCTCATGTTTTGTTTTGGAATGATACACTGGGTTGGCGCTCAAACCAATTGCACTGGAGTTATCACTCCAGATAACTAGAATATCTCGAAGCTTGATTCTCATGTCAGCCAACAGAGCATTCAATCATCTTACATTAGAGGCAACATCGTCAAGACTCTTATACTCTCATTCTGTGGTGGACCTGGAAACTGTTTTCTACTTCTTCGAACTCCACATTACTAAACTGCCTCATAAGCAGACATAGTTGCGTAAAATAAACCTTCTGTCATCCATGCTTCCTCATAGTCCATGTCTGTAAAAGCCACCAGCTGCATTGTTTCAGCTGCTCATGAGATAATCAAACCATGATCCAACCTACCATTTAAGTAACGTAAAACTCTCTTCACAATTGTCAAATGTTTTTCACATAGTGCATGCATAAACTGTGTTAGTTTGTTGACATTGTATGTTATGTTAGATCTCGTGTGACATGCATATAGGAGTGACCCAACCAGACTTCGATACTCCTATCACTACGGCAAAACAGAGTTTTAGCGGCGTTTTTAAGCGTCGCTAAAAGAACTTGCAGCGATTGAAAAAATGCCGCAAAAAGCGCCGCTAAAGTTAGCGGCGTTTGAGAACAAAAAACGCCGCAATAGGTCAAGATCTATTGCGGCGTTATCGGAACAAATACTGCAAAAGGTAGATATCTAAGCGGCGTTTTTAGAACAAACACCGCAAAAGATCATATCTATAGTCACTTTTTTGCAAAAAGGGTCAGATCTATAGTGGCGTTTTTGGATACAAACACCGCAAAAGGTCAGTTCTATAGCGGCGTTTTTGCATACAAACGTCGCAAAATGTCAGATCTATAGCAGCGTTTTTGGATACAAACGCCGCAAAAGGTCAGATCTAGCACTCTGTTAATGGCATTTTCCCCTAAAACGCCGCTAATCGAAACTGATTTTCAACATATCTTCTTCCAATTTTGTATTACCCAAATTGAACCTATAACAATATCCAATAACCATCTTAAATTTCATTACGATTCAAATTAAGTAAGAATACATAAAAAAAAAATCAAAGTTTACAAACATCCAAGTTAAATAAATAAATCTTCGGTGGGTACTGAAATATCAAGTTAGACGTTACATAAGTTTAGAACCAAAATATTGCTTAAGTAAGAGAAGGTTTAGGACAGTTGATTAAAACACAAAAAAGTCATACCAACACTAAGAAACACATAATATATGAATGTCCTCAAGACCAGCAACCAGAAATTTGCTACTTAAAGCCTCTCCGGTAATCCATCCGCAGGATCATTCCTACAAAAATCAAGTCGAAGAATTAAATGGTAAACAATTAGAACAACTTCTTGTAAAGGTAATTTTACTAAAAAAGATTGAACAATTAGAATAACATTATTCAAATACTAAGCTAAAATGAGAAAATTCAGTTAAAAATGATAAAATTCCAAACAAACTCAAACATACATCAATAGCAGATGCATCTTCACTAGGAGCAAAACTTGCAGCAGCCCGCAATGCCTTTGCCTTCTGATCTACTTCCTCGTACGAACACTATGCAAAACGAATTAATTTTTAAAAAAATATATATACATTTTTAATCATATTAAAAACCCACATTTAAATTGTAATATAAATTAAATCACAAATGACCCAATCTTAATCAAAAGAAAAAAGACTTACGGTAAGAGAGATAACCAGCATAGCCAACAGTTCCTGTAATAGCCGCGATGAGTCCGTACTTAAAAAATGGTTAATGCTTTTATAATCTTTGTGACCATAAATTAGGATTATTGAATAAGGAAATAAAAAAATATTTAAGAAAAATAAATATTCTAATATAAATTCATAAGGATAAATAATCAATATTTAAATTAGTAAATTCTTAAAATCAAGTATCAAACTTCTTGCTTTGCATCTCCTTCTTATAAGTAAATGAATCCTGCATAACTGAAGCATATGCCCCAGGATCCATACCTAGCAAAAAATGACAGCACAAAGCAAGTTCTTCAACAATGGATACTGAGATTGCCATGTTGAAGAATTGCTCGAAGTAGCAGAATTTGTAAAGACAAATAATTACAAAGTAAACACGTACAAGATATAGATTATGGAATAGTTCTAAACGAACCAGGTGCCATCTTCTGCCTGCATCTTTTCGATAAACCCAGCAGCTCTACCAATACAATTTTGAATTTCTTCTGTTATATGTTCAGGATATAATTTCCTGAATGAGGCTAGTGCCTGAATTGCTGCTGAGGTGCATTCAACATATAATTGCTTACACAGGTGAATAGTTGTTTGAACCTCCTGATTCTCATCTATATTTAGTTTCTCTTTCAAATTAGCATAGTCTGGAAGGATGTATTAGCTTGAACCCTAAAGAGATCCGTATTCGACTTGGCATTAAGTGAAGAGATCGAAATATAGAGGCCTTAGGCATTGTTTTGCATTCTTACTTGGATATTTGATATAATTCCTGTCCGCATAAGCTCCTGCAAACAGGATCTTAAAATTTTGTAATGAGCTTGAAGAGTTGAAGGACCCACATATGCTTTGATATCGGCTCTGTTAACAAATGCAATATCTACAACGCTAGTAGTAAATTTATACATTCCAAAAGGGTGGATTCTTCTCCAGCCTAATATTTCAGGACTGGTGCCATCGGTAAATATGAAAAATGTAAAATATCCCTCAGTACGTTAAATGAGAGGACTGATAAAAGTTTCTAATAGTTGAAGATTCCAATACTGAATCCACAATGAGATAATGGCAAATTACCATGTAAATACCATACATTTCAGAATAACGAACCAATGTGAAATGGATTATAGGCTTACCAATAGCAGCAATTATATTGGACGTAGTCATAATTATAACATTGGGAGCTAATTTCAAATTATCCATCTGAGTTAATAGCGCATTTACAACCTGAGGTACATTTTCAAGTTGTATCCGGTCTAAAGTTGAGGTAAATATACTCGCATAAAGACGTGCATTTAAGAGAAAAAATATAAAGAAGTTTAATTGCTTGCACAAAACTGTTACCCGAATGGAATCTGAAGGTTCAGAACCAGACAAAGTAGCATTTCTAGCAGCAGCAAGACTTTCAACTTCATCTGCGGCAGCAGCAGCAGCATATATCTAAAGAGTCATAAGCTAGAAAGACCAGAAATGATCAAAACCCTAACTTCGGTAATAAAAGACTCACCAATTAGAACAAATACCAGATTGTGTTCTTCCTCCACCATTTCTTGAATTTTTTGGAAAAGCTTTGCAACCTAAAGTTTAGGAACAGAGTTAAGAATGTAAACTACATACCATTCACATCCAGGACGTCATGATACTTTTTTCATAAGTTCAAAAAATTAATACAGAAACATACCAACTTGCCACTCTCAGAGAACCATTTACTAAACAATGAATGTGCATTAACTTCGATTAATTGGCACTGTGGATATCTGAATAAAGAATGGTAAGCCAAAAATAAAATCAGCTAGAACTAAACATCTCACAAGCTAATGTATAAGGTCGTAAAGTGATATATGCTTTGGGCACATAAATTAACAAAAGACCTGGAGCTGAATCTAATGGATAATATTTGTGCTAGTGCTTTGCATAAAGATGTCTTTCCTGTCCCTGGAGGCCCATGTAAAAGAATAATGCTGCAGAAAAGAAAAATCATTGATAAGATTTTTGTGCTACTACTATTATCAATGCTTGTAATATCATGCAACAGGAGAACTTCCAAATTCCATGAAAATTTTGAATGTTGAAAAGTAACCATGTATATTTATATATATCATAGATGCGTAGTAAGCTCTCTCCTTCTCTACAGAGCTTTGCATCATCAAGAATACGAAATTATAACAAAGTGGTATTGTCAAGCAATAAGTATGAACAGGTAAATATGCATATTGCTGAAAGATGGACAACAAGCTGATAATTCAAAAGCCAACATCCAGAATGTTCTATTTGAAGTTTTAGTCTTACTAGATAAGATTCCAACTATGAAAACCCCAACTGAAACAATCTAATCAGTTTGCTCATTACTAGATAAGGATCATCGTACTAGTTTTGAAAAAAGAGAACCAACGCTTCATTTTCTTCTATTCTTTTTTGGAATAAAACGATACTACTTTATTGAAAGAAATGAAGCCAAATCTGATATAATTCTAATTCCAGGGAATTTGAGATAGGGTTTTATTGGGGACAGCTTACGATGAGGCGATGAGGGACTTTGAAAATGCAGGAAATGAAACCAGGCTCGACCCTGTCGACACGGAGACCGCTTAAGCAAAACTCATTATAGAAGCTGCGCTCATAACCGACTCGGTGGGGGGTGAACAAGCACGCACTTCATTTTTCTCTCATGATTCTGCCTTCTCTGAAACTAAATGGAAATGGAAAAAGAAATGAGCAAAGAGAGTCGTTATTTATAGCAGTGAGAAATAAGCAGCAAAGCAAAGGGCGACCATGCATTGATAAAACCAAAGTCCAAAGAAAAACCCAAAGCCACGAAATCAAAATCAAAATCAAAAGAACAACAACGACTGGTGACGGTGTTAACGATAAATTTCGCGGAATGAAAAATAAGGATTTGGGTTTGGGATTTAATAGTGAAGCAGATGGGTTTGGGTAAAAGGCGGGATAGAAAAATGGGTCAAGGGGGGTAAATGAAAAACAGGTTAAAGGGCGCGACACTTAAAAATTATAAATTTACGGCGTTTGTAAACACAAACACCACTAAAGTATGAGTCTATAGCGGCGTATGTATATAAACGCCACTAAATTACGAGTCTTTAGCGGCGTTTATAAACACAAACGCCACTAAAGTACAATTGTATAGTGGCGTTTGTATAAAAATGCCACTAAAGTACGAGTCTATAGTGGTGTTTGTATAAAAACGCCACTAAAGTACGAGTGTATAGTGGCGTTTGTATAAAAATACCACTAAAGTACTACTCTGTTGCGGCGTTTGTTGAAAAAAAATGCCACTATAAATGAACCTATTGCGGCATTTGTATAAAAACGCCGCTAAAGTACTACTTTATAGAGGCGTTTTTTAGAAAAACGCCGCAAAAGTTACCATTTTGTGGCGTTTGCTATGTAAACGATGCAATATGTTTAAAATTTGTGGCGTTTACTCCTAAAACGCCGCTAAAAACACCGCTGTAGAACAATTTTGTTGTAGTGTATGGATAAATTAGTGCACTGTCAGCCTCTTTGGATAGTTTAAGAGATGATATCATTTGTGTAGGTGTGGGAGTTACATTACTCATACGTGCCTTGTCCAAAAACTTCATCATATATTAATTTTGACTAAGAAATATAGAATCTCCCATGTACTTGACCTCGATACCAAGAAAAAACTAAGTTACCCTAGGTCTTTGAGTGGGAATTTCTTTCCAAGCATCATCACTACTTCTTCTACCTTATTACTCATACTCCCATTAACAATTATGTCATCAACATAGACTAAAACATATATGGTACATTCTTCTTCATGCTTAATGAACAATAAACAATCTACTTGAGAGCTTACAAAACCAATATTCAGGAGATACTCTCATAGCTTTGCATACTAGTTGCGTGGGGCTTATCTCAGCCCATACAAAGCTTTATTTGGTTTGCAAACCAACACACCATCATCAGGAGATGTCTTCTCAAAACCTTAAGGCTACTGTATGTACACATCTTCATGCAAATCTCCATCCTAGAATGCGTTGTTCATATCAACTTGTCTCAAACATCACTTATTACGAATTATAACTGCAAGGATCACATTGATCATGGATGAATTTATAATCGGGATAAAGATGTCTTGAAAATCTTGCTCAGAGATTTTTGAAAACTCTTAAGTCACTAGTCTTTCTTTATATCTTTGCAACGAGCTATCAGTATTCATTTTTACCCTAAATAGCCACTTACATCCTAATATAGTCCTACCTTTAGGTAGTTTAACTAGAGTCAATGTGTTGTTTCTTTCAAGAGCTTCATATTCATCTTAGACAATTAACTTTTATTTAGCATACTGAAGAGCATCATATATAGAGGTGGGTTCCTCTTCTTCATCTTCATGAATAGACACATACAAATTGGGTTTAAAAATACCTCTTTGGCTTTGAGTGATCATATGATGTCTTTAATGAATGTTTGAAGGCACTGTAGGTGTTGTAGAAATAGGTAATTATAGACCAGCTTGATCTATGGTTGTATCCAAATGTTCATCTTGCATGATTTCTTCCAATACAACAGGTTGAGAGTCATTGTGATGATGATTGACCTGATCATGATTTGAGTGAACTGGACTAAGAACAATTGCTTGATCACCTTCATCAAGTACTTGTTGAGAATTGACAGTGCTACTACAGTAATCCTTTTATATTACACCATTGTTTCCTCTGGTCTGACATTTCTGTATGACCACGAATTCCACACACTCTTTAAAACCCATCATTGACTGAAAATTCAGATGCCATTCTTTGACCAGTCTTCCCAGTATCACGAGCCATATATTTACTTTCTGCAAAAAGGAAAACATTTCTAATCAAATAATAAGTGTCTCGATATGTATACCTTAACATCTAGAGCCAAGCATTGATAACCTTTGTGTTGTGCATTATACCCAAAGAATGTGCACGATCGTGATCAATACTCCAATTTATGATTTGAATAAGCCCTAAGATGAGGAAAACATCTACAGTCAAATACTCTCATAAATCTATAATCTGGCAGCTTACTGTATAGAGCTTCAAATGGTGACTTTATGCACCTGAGTTAGCAGTCGATTATTAAGGAACATTGTTGAACATACTTCATATGACCAGAAGTGAAAAGGTAGAGACGCATGTGTTGGATCATAAACTTGATCCATTATGGGAGCCTAAACCCAAACCCAAACTAAATTGATGTCATTACTTACATCATTTAATTAAAGATGTCATTGCTTACATCATTTAATTAATGATGTCATTGCTTACATCAATTTAGTTAGGTGAGAGTTAGATATTTGTTGAATTTGTAATGGTTTAAATTAGTTTATTTGTGTGGTGTAGGATTGTTCTTGAGTAGTATAAATACCCCTTCCCATTTTAGTTTTAAGCATCAAGAAAAATTAAGAGCTTCTAAGTGAGTGAAGAAGCAAAGTCTTATAAGAGTGAGTTGTAGTTCTTGTTTTTGAGTGAGAGTACTCTTGTAATATTTGTTTGAGTTCCAATAAAAGTTGTTTGTGTGAGTGTTTTATTTCCAACAAAGTGGCATCAGAGAGAGTTGGAAAGATCGAAGGTCTCGACGAGAGGAATACGCCGCCGCCAGAATTTTCTCAATCTGAGTTCTGACGCACCGCCACGCACCACCGGAAGACTGCTGCCAGAAAATCGAGTTGACTCACCGATTTGAGCCGAGTCAGCCGAGTTGGAGCCCTTGACCGAGTTGTCCAAGTCCCTCCAAAGTTTTTTTTCATCGTTCCGGATTCATCCGTGCAATCGGATTTTACAAAATCTCATTATATTGAGAGATATGGCAAATGGTATGGCACCATTCCAAGTTCCGACACTCAACAACAACAACTACGACAATTGGAGTATCAAAATGAAGGCACTTCTTGGATCACAAGATGTGTGGGATATCATAGAGAAAGGCTATAACGAGCCTGCGGATGATGATGTTTTTGCTACTCTTACACCAGATCAAAAGACAACTTTGAAGGATTCAAGAAAGAGAGACAAGAAGGCTCTCTACCTCATCTATCAAGCATTAGATGATGATGGTTTTGAAAAGATTTCAAGTGCAAGCTCTAGCAAGGAAGCATGGGAGAAGCTGCAAACCTCTTACAAAGGATCCGAGCAAGTGAAGAAGGTTCGTCTATAAACATTAAGAGGTGAATTCGAATCCTTAAACATGAAAGCATCTGAGTCTATTTCAGATTATTTCTCAAGAGTAGTAGCTGTTTCTAATCAATTAAAAAGAAATGGTGAAAAGTTAGACGATGTGAGGATAATAGAGAATATACTCCGTTCGTTGGATCCCAAATTTGAGCACATCGTCTTGACGATTGAAGAAACTAAAGACTTGGAAGAAATGAAGATCGAACAGCTCCAAGGATCATTGCAAGCATACGAAGAGAAGCATAAAAAGAAGCATGAGTTTACTGAGCAACTCCTCAAGCTGCAACTCAAGGATATGCATGAGAGCCAACGCAATGATAGAAACCAACGTGGCCAAGGCAGAGGTAGAGGCCATGGACGAGGTGGAAGTCGAGGTCGTGGACGAGGCTGGAATTACAACAATAACAATTCCAACAATAACTATGAGAAAGGAGAAAGCTCAACACGAGAATGTAGAGCTCCCAACAACAAATTTGAGGAGAAGGCCAATTACGTGAAGGAAAAGACAGATGGAAAAGAAACTCTTCTTCTAGCACGAAAGGAAACTGATGGTGGCCAAGCAAATTCCTGGTATCTTGACAGTGGTGCAAGCAATCACATGTGTGGAAGGAAAGACATGTTTGTGGAGCTAGACGAGTCAGTAAGTGGAAATGTTTCGTTTGGAGATGATTCCACAATAGCAGTGAAAGGGAGAGGTAACATTCTTATCCGTTTGAAAGATGGGAGACATCAATTTATTTCAAATGTCTACTATGTGCCCAATATGAAAAGTAACATTTTAAGTTTAGGGCAACTGGTAGAGAAAGGTTATGATATTCATATAAATAATTATAATCTTTCTATAAAAGATGATAAGAATAACTTCATTGTTAAAGTGCCGATGTCAAAGAATAGAATGTTCTTGATCAACATACAAAATGATGTTGCAAAGTGCCTGAAAGCTTGCTTCAAAGATGCATCATGGCTTTGGCATCTTCGATTTGGGCATCTCAATTTTGGAGGTCTAGAGCTATTATCTAAGAAGGAGATGGTGAAAGGACTACCTCACATCAACCATCCTGACCAGCTCTGTGAAGGGTGTCTAGTCGGGAAACAATTTAGGAAAAGCTTTCCAAAGGAGTCAGAGACAAGAGCTAAGAAGCCACTTGAGCTCATCCATACCGATGTGTGTGGACCGATCAAGCCAAGCTCTCTCGGTAACAATAACTATTTTCTTCTCTTCATTGATGATTTTTCAAGAAAAACCTGGGTATATTTCTTGAAACAGAAGTCAGAAGTTTTTGAAGTCTTCAAGAAGTTCAAAGCAGCAGTGGAGAGAGAAAGCGGTAGAAAGATCAAAGCCATGAGATCCGATCGAGGTGGAGAATTTACTTCCAGTGAGTTTCAAGAGTTATGTGAAGCAAATGGAATTCGTTGACCAATGACAGTTCCTAGATCCCCCCAACAAAATAGTGTGGCAGAAAGAAAGAATAGAACAATCCTCGACATGGCACGAAGAATGCTCAAAAGCAAGAAACTACCCAAAGAATTTTGGGCGGAAGCAGTATCGTGTGCAGTCTACTTGTCAAATCGATCTCCAACAAGAAGTATATGGGGAAAGACACCGCAAGAGGCATGGAGTGGAAGAAAGCCTGGCATTTCCCACTTGAGAACCTTTGGAAGTATAACCCATGTTCACGTACCAGACGAGAGAAGAACGAAGCTTGATGATAAAAGCGAGAGTTTTATCTTCATCGGCTATGATGGTAATTCGAAGGGCTACAAGTTGTACAATCCAGACAATAAGAAGTTTGTGATTAGTCAAGATGTGGTCTTCAACGAAGAAGGAGAATGGGATTTTAACTCTCATACAGATGACTTCAATTTCTTTCCTCAGTTTGAAGAAGATGAGCAGACAATGAGGGAGCAACTAGATGAATCTCAACAAGAGCTTGCAACTCCACCCACTTCACCAACATCAACCACTCAAGGAGACTCATCACCTTCATCATCGTCAAGTGGGAGTCAAAGTGAAAGAGTTGTGCAACGCACAAGAAGCCTTAGAGATCTCTATGAGGTAACTGAACGACAAGATAATCTTACATTATTTTGTTTGTTTGCCGATTGTGAACCAGTGAGCTTTCAAGAAGCGGTACAAGAAAAGAAATGGAGAGATGCGATAGACGAAGAAATCAAGGCCATCGAGAAGAATGACACATGGGAACTTACCTCACTTCCCAAGGGACATAAGGCGATAGGTGTCAAATGGGTGTACAAAACAAAGCAAAATGCCAAAGGAGAGATTGAAAGGCACAAGGCGAGGCTAGTTGCTAAAGGCTATAGTCAAAAGGCTGGAATTGACTATGATGAGGTATTTGCTCCTGTTGCTCGATTGGAGACTATCAGACTAATCATTTCTTTGGCAGCTCAAAACAAGTGGAAGATACAACAGATGGATGTAAAGTCCGCCTTACTAAATGGAGTTCTTGAAGAGGAACTTTACATTCAGCAACCATCAGGCTATGAAGTCAAAGGGCATGAAGACAAGGTGTTGAAGTTGAAGAAGGCTCTTTACGGGCTAAAACAAGCACCAAGGGCATGGAATAGCCGAATCGACAAGTACTTCCAAGAGAATGGTTTCAACAAATGTCCCTACGAGCATGCTCTATATATCAAGATCAAAGATGAAGATATTTTGATCGTGTGCCTCTACGTGGATGATTTGATCTTCACTGGAAGCATCCCAAGCATGTTTAATGAATTCAAGGATGTGATGATGAAAGAATTCGAGATGACAGACATGGGGCTCATGGCGTACTACCTTGGCATTGAAGTTAAGCAACAAAATGATGGAATTTTCATTTCACAGGAAAGCTATGCAAAGGAGATACTGAAGAAGTTCAAGATGGAGAACTGTAAGCCAATAAGCACACCGGCATAATACGGGATCAAGATGACCAAACATGAAGAAGGCGAAAGTGTAGATCCAACATTCTTCAAAAGTTTGGTAGGAAGTCTACGCTATCTAACTTGCACGAGACCCGATATTCTTCACGCAGTTGGATTGGTTAGTCGCTACATGGAATCCCCAACAACCACCCATTTTAAAGCTGCAAAGAGAATTCTTCGCTATCTGAAAGGTACAATTGACTTTGGCTTGTTCTATTCAGTTTCTAATGATTACAAGCTTGTTGGATATAGCGACAGTGATTGGGGTGGAGACATAGATAATCGAAGGAGCACTACTGGATTCGTATTTTTCATGGGAGATATTGCATTCAAATGGATGTCAAAGAAACAACCGATTGTCACATTGTCCACTTGTGAAGCGGAATATGTTGCTACTACCTCATGTGTTTGTCATGCAATTTGGCTTAGAAATCTATTGAAGGAGATTGGTTTGATACAAGAAGAGCCTACCAAGGTTTGTGTCGACAACAAGTTAGCCATTGCCTTAGCGAAGAATCCAGTATTCCATGATCGAAGCAAGCACATTGATATTCGCTACCACTATATAAGGGAGTGTGTTGCAAGAAAAGATGTGGAAGTTGAATATGTGAAGTCACAAGATCAAGTTGCTGATATTTTTACCAAGCCACTGACCAGCGAAGACTTCTTAAGATTAAGGAACCTACTAGGGGTCACGA